ACTTATAGTTATACTGCATACTGGAACCAAGTGAAATAACAGCTAGTCGTTAATACTTATAGTTTTGAAATACTACCTATTAGCTTGTTTAGTTCGAGCAGAAATGTTATTGACGAAATTTTATTCGCATGCCTTATATTTTTCTTGCTTAATATTACCGAAAATTAACAAGTTTTGAAAAGCTTTACAGACATCTTTACTTGATACAATAACTTATTATCAGTTTATTTTTACCACCAATACCATCTTAACGGGTGATACTCGTAAAATATCTTTTCCATATAGGACCGTCGACGAGTTTAACTCGGTGCACGTCCTGGTAGGTTATAAACCTACAAATACCATCTGTCTCATTTGACTTGAAATTAATTCAAAGTTTGCAAGCATTAAATTTGTAAATCTATTGCTTACACGTGCAGTATTTAGACAATTTCAAATTGGCTTTGTGAGCCACTCATAAATTACATTGGAGAATATGACTCATTTTTAACCCCCTCTACCATAGTTGCCTTGAGTCTTAAAATTGAAAACCCCTCGTATCACCAGGGGGCATCAACCTCATGGTTCTAGAATAGTAGTAGTTACATATATAGTAAGTTGACCAAAACCCACCATGGATAGAGTGGACCGCTTTCAGTGTCTCTCTTTTTCAAACAAAAGGAAATGATATTAATTTGAATTACCGTCCGCAAATGCAAAATGATACCGAGAATGAAATCGGTCGCTCGCTTTTATATGGAGGTTTTTTCTTTAAAACCTCCAGTCCACATAAGTATATCTTGTTCCTGTCAACTTTTACATTATAAATTAGAATGTTTTGAACTAAAAATAAACCTGCTGAACGACTTTCCATGAGCCTTAATGCCTGAAAACAGCTTCTCCCGTTATTAAATTTAAAGCTTTAAAGGCTCTGTGCTATTTAATTGGCTATTGTCAATTGTCATGAATACTTTTATTATGTGTAAACATTTGGGACCTACTTATTGATATTTTATCAAACACTTTATTGTCAGAGCTATACAATTGTTTGATTTTAAATTTTAATTGTTCGTCCTATAAATCAAATTCTGATCAGTAACATTTAAGGTCATGTCTCAATGAGGCAATTTTACTTCTTTAGATTACATCGATTCAAAAATAGATGGTAGTTGAAAAGTTATTACAATAAACGTTACGGTCTGTACTTAAAAATCAACTTTATTTGATAATGATAACACCATTCAGAATGGCAGAATGTGGACAACAAGATGTGGAAGGGTTCGTTAAAAAAGAAGTATCACTATCAGACATCGACACCTTTCAGTCAACTACAATCCTTCTACCAAATAACGCGTCAAAGTTTGAAGATGATACAAAATATCACCTTGACCTCGAAATAAAGACCGAAGATTTAACAGCTGAAAATTTCGAACTTGGAAATGGAACCGCACAATTGTATTTAAACACTGAAGGAACAAAAATAGAAGTATTGCCAGTGTATAAAGCGGAGATTTGTGACACGACTATAAAAAGTGAACCTCTAGACGGTGAATGTAATGCAAGTCCACCCAGCTCCTCTCTTTCTAATGATCCTCTGAATACCAACCCTCAAAGCATTGTGGATATCTCCCAATCTATTAATATTGGAGATACTGTTCTGTCTGAACACAATTTAAAGAAGTACATGTCGACTCGTACTGGAGAGAAACCTTATAAATGTGATGTTTGTAGTTACACATCCTCGAGAAGTGGCGCTCTTGCTTCTCACAAACGAACACACACTGGAGAGAAACCTTATAAATGTGATATTTGTAGCTACTCAGCCGCGACAAGTAGCAGCTCTTACTTATCACAAACGAACACACACTGGAGAGAAACCTTATAAATGTGATGTTTGTAGCTACTCAGCCACGCAAATTAGCAATCTTATTTGTCACAAACGAAAACACACTGGAGAGAAACTTACAAATGTGATATTTGTAGCTACTCAGCCTCGCAAAGTGGCGCTCTTGCTTCTCACAAACGAACACACACTGGAGAGAGACCCTATCCATGTACTTTGTGTGACTATAGAGCTAGCCGATCAAGCGATTTGAAGAGCCATTTCCGAACCCATGCCGTTAAAAAACCATATAAATGTGATATTTGTAGCTACTCAGCCGCGCAAAGTGGCGCTCTTGCTTCTCACAAACGAAAACACACTGGAGAGAAACCTTTTAAATGTGATGTTTGTAGCTACTCAGCCGCGACAAGTATTAATCTTACTAATCACAAACGAACACACACCGGAGAGAAACCTTTTAAATGTGATGTTTGTAGCTACTCAGCCACGCAAATTAGCAATCTTATTTGTCACAACGAACACCTGAAAAGAACCCACACCGGAGAGAAACCTTACAAATGTGATATTTGTAGCTACTCATTCACGGAAAGTAGCCATCTTGCTTCTCACAAACGAACACACACTGGAGAGAAACCTTATAAATGTGATATTTGTAGCTACTCAGCCGCGCGAATTGAAACTCTTATTCGTCACAAACGAACCCACACCGGAGAGAAACCGTATAAATGTGATATTTGTAGCTACTCAGCCGCGCAAAGTGCTGCTCTTGCTTCTCACAAGCGAATACACACTGGAGAGAAACCTTATAAATGTGATATTTGTAGCTACTCAGCTGCGCGAATTGAAACTCTGATTTGTCACAAACGAACCCACACCGGAAAGAAACCTTATAAATGTGATGTTTTTAGCTACTCAGCCAACCGAATTGGCTCTCTTATTCATCACAAACGAACACACACTGAAGATAATCAGAAACCTTATAAATGTGATGTTTGTAGCTATTCAGCCTCGCAAAGTGCCGCTCTTGCTTCTCACAAACGAACACACACTGGAGAGAAACCTTATAATTTTGATATTTTTAGCTACTCAGCCACGGAAAGTGACAAACTGACTTCTCACAAGCGAATACACACTGGAAAGAAACCTTATAAATGTGATATTTGTAGCTACTCAGCCGCGCAGAGTGGCACTCTTGCTTCTCATAAACGAACACACACCGGAGAAAAACCTTATTCTTGTAGTTTGTGTGACTACAGGGCTAGCCATTCAATTAGTTTACAGACCCATATGATGAGTCACTCTAGAGAGAAACTGTCCGGGAGTTGAAATAGAACGGTGAATTATAGTCATTCGAAGTCATACCTCACACGTGTTAATTTGTAGTTATATGTTATAGTTATAGTTATACTGCATACTGGAACCAAGTGAAATAACAGCTAGTCGTTAATACTTATAGTTTTGAAATACTACTTATTAGCTTGTTTAGTTCGAGCAGAAATGTTATTGACGAAATTTTATTCGCATGCCTTATAGTTATATTTTTCTTGCTTAATATTACCGAAAATTAACAAATTTTGAAAAGCTTTACAGACATCTTTTAACTTGATACAATAACTTATTATACAATAACAATACCATCTGTCTCATTTGACTGGGAATTAATTCAAGGTTTGCAAGCGTTAAATTTGTTAATCTATTGCTATTTAGACAATTTCAAATTTGCTTTGTGAGCCACTCATAAATTACATTGGATAATTTGACTCATTTTTAACCCCCTCTACCATCGTTGCCTTGAGTCTTAAAATTGAAAACCACTCATTTTACCAGACAATTTGGGGGTGGGGGAGGCTTCAACTTCATGGTTCTAGCCTAGTTACATATATAGTAATTTAACCAAAACCCATCATGGGTAGAGTGGACCGCTGCCAGTGTCTCTTTTACAAACAAAAGGAAATGATATTAATTTAAATTACCGTCCGCAAATGCAAAATGATAGTGATACCGAGAATGAAATTAATCGCTCGCTTTTATGTGGAGGTTTTTTCCTAAAAACCTCCACATAACTATTTCTTATTCCTGTCATCTTTGACATTAAATTGGAATGTTTTGAAATAAAAATAAACCTGCTGAACGACGTTCAATGAGACTTAAATTTAATGCCTGAAAAACAGTAAAGGGGCATATTACTATTAGTATGTGGTAATGGTTTGGAAGGTATGTAATGAGGGCAACGGTCGGTCATGCTTGCCAGCACTATGATTCCGGCCGTTTTACTTTTAGTTGCCGTGTTCCTTTTAGTAGTGACAAAGTCTGTTCACAAACAGATTGAAGGTATGGCGGAATGACAAGTTAAAAAACTGTCACTTTCTAGTTTTGAATATCATCCCAAACCAAGTCTGCAAAACTTCTGCCGTTATTAAATTTAAAATTATAAAAGGCTCTGTGCTATTGGCTATGGTCATTTCTACTTTTATTATGTGTAACTGTAAGTGTAAACATTTAGGACCTACTCGTTGATATTTTATCAAACACTTTATTGTCAGAGCTATACTATTGTTTGGTTTTAAATTTTAATTGTTTGTCCTATAAATCAAAATTTTTATCAGTAACATAAGGTCATGACACAATGAGGCACTTCTACTTGCTTTAGAATTAGATTACATCGATTCTAAAAATAGATTGGTACAGTCTGTACTTGAAAACATCAACTTTATTTGGTAATGATAACACCATTCAGAATGAAGAATGTGGACAACAGGTTGTGGAAGGGTTCGTCAAAAAAGAAGTATCAGACATCGACACCTTTCAGTCAATTACAATCCTTCTACCAAATAACGCGTCCAAGTTTGAAGATGACACAAAATATCACCTTGATCTCGAAATAAAGGCCGAAGATTTAACAGCCGAAAATTTCGAACTTGGAAATGGAACCGCACAATTGTTTTTAAACACTGAAGGAACAAAAATAGAAGTATTGACTGCAGTGCCAGCAGATAAAGCGGAGATTTGTGACACGACTATAAAAAGTGAACCTCTAGAATGTGAATGTAATGCAAGTCCACCCAGCTCCTCTCTTTCTAATGATCTTCCGAATACCAACCCTCAAAGCAGTGTGGATACCTCCCAATCTATTAATATTGGAAATAATGTTCTGACTGAACACAGTTTAAAGAAGTACATGTCGACTCGTACGGGTGAAAAACCTTATAATTATAAATGTGATGGCGCTCTTGCTTCTCACAAACGAACACACACTGGAGAGAAACCGTATAAATGTGATGTTTGTAGCTACTCAGCCACGCAAATTAGCAATCTTATTTGTCACAAACGAAAACACACTGGAGAGAAACCTTATAAATGTGATATTTGTAGCTACTCATCCACGGGAAGTAGCCATCTTGCTTCTCACAAACGAACACACACTGGAGAGAAACCTTATCAATGTGATATTTGTAGCTACTCAGCCGCGCGAATTGAAACTCTTATTCGTCACAAACGAACCCACACCGGAGAGAAACCTTATAAATGTGATATTTGTAGCTACTCAGCCACGCAAAGTAGCCATCTTGCTTCTCACAAACGAAAACACACTGGAGAGAAACCTTATAAATGCGATATTTGTAGCTACTCAGCCTCACAAAATAGCACTCTTGCTTCTCACAAACGAACACACACTGGAGAGAGACCCTATCCATGTACTTTGTGTGACTATAGAGCTAGCCGATCAAGCGATTTGAAGAGCCATTTCCGAACCCAACACGGTAAAAAACCATATAATGTATAAATGTGATATTTGTAGCTACTCAGCCGCGCAAAGTAGCAATATTACTTATCACAAGCGAATACACACTGGGAAGAAACCTTTTAAATGTGATATATGTAGCTACTCAGCCGCAACAAGAAGGGGGGGTCAACCTCATTTTACCTCATTCGGCCAGCCAAAAAAGGCAAAATTGGGATGAGGTAAAATGAGGTAAAATGAGGTAAATAAATCTAGTTTTCTAAGCCTTTTTTTAGAAAAGGCTTAGAAAACTAAAAGACAATGGGGGGGGAGGCATCAACCTCATGGTTCTAGCCTAGTTATATAATTATATATATATATATAACTATTTATAGTAATTTGACCAAAACCCATCATGGGTAGAGTGGACCGCTGCCAGTGTCTCTCTTTTCCAAACAAAAGGAAATGTCAATGATATTAATTTGAATAACCGTCTGCAAATGCAAAATGATACCGAGAATGAAATCGGTCGCTCGCTTTTATGTGGAGGTTTTTTCGGATGATGATTAATCACTCTACACTCGACTGTCACGTGACTTTTTCAACCCCTTCTCTAGCTGGTCCTGAACGACTATTCGAAACCCTAACCCTCTAATCTGATCCCAACCCTAACCCTAACCCAATCCTTAACAAAAGCATATGCTGAAACCCTAACCCTAACTAGATATTAGACTAACTTCCTTATACGGTCATATCACGTGATCGAAACAGTTTTTCGCCAATATCTCGTCAGGGGAGCATTTTAACCCTATGTCATGGGGGGTGATTCGGAAATACATCGATTGAAATTGGTTTCAACTGTCGGGGGCCCTTTCAGAACAATCTCGAAGATCGACTGTAGAGTGATTTAGCACGCTCGGGTTTTTTCTTTAAAACCTCCACATAAGTATTTCTTATTCCTGTCAACTTTGACATTATAAATTAGAATGTTTGAACAAAAAATAAACCTGCTGAACGACTTTCCATGAGCCTTAATGCCTGAAAACAGCTTCTCCCGTTATTAAATTTAAAGTTAAAGTTAAAGGCTCTGTGCTATTGGCTATTATAGTCATGTTTACTTTTATTATGTGTGAACATTTGGGACCTACTCGTTGATATTTTATCAGATACTTTATTGTCAGAGCTATACTATTGTTTGGTTTTAAATTTTAATTGTTTGTCCTACAAATCAAAATTCCGATCAGTAACATTTAAGGTCATGACTCAATGAGACAATTTTACTTACTTTTAGATACACACAAAAAAATTTGATTTTTAAAAATAATGACGTTAATTTGTAATAACCGTCCCGCAAATGGAAAATGATACCGAGAATGAATCGGGTCGTCTCGCTTTCATATGTAGGTTTTTTCTTTAAAACCTCCACATCAGTATTTCTTATTCCTGTCACTTTGACATTATAAATTAAATGTTTTTGAACTAAAATAAACCTGCTGAACGACTTTCCATGAGCCTTAAGCCTGAACAACAAGCTTCTTCTCAACCTTCTTAAATTTAAAGTTAAAGGTTCTGTTCTATTGCTATTTAATTAATTGTCATGAATACTATTTTATTATTTAAACATTTGGACCTTGCTCGTTGATATTTTAATCAAACACTTTATTGTCAGAGCTATACAATTGTTTGGTTTTAAATTTTAATGTTATGTCCTATAAATCAAATTCCGATCATAACCATTAAGGTCTTGACTCACTGAACAATTTTACTTACTTTTAGATTACTCGATTCAAAAATCGATGGTATTGAAAAGTTATTACAATAAACGTTACGGTAATGTACCTGTACTTAAACAATAGAACATCACTTTATTGTAATGATAACACCATTCAGAATGCCAGAATGTGGACAACAAGATGTGAGAGTTCGTTAAAAAGAAGTTAACACTATCAACATCGACACCCTTTCATCAAGACAATCCTTCAACCAAATTACGCGTCCAAGTTTAAGAATGACACAAATATCACCTTGACCTCGAAAGTAAAGACCGAAGATTTAACAGCTGAACATTTGAACTTGGTAAATGAACCGCACAATTGTATTTAAACCTGGAGGAACAAAAATAGAAGTAGTTGCCAGTGATAAAGCGGAGGATTTGTGACACACTATAAAACGTGAACCTCTAGACGTGAATGTAATGCAAGTCCCAGCTCTCCGCTTTCTAATGATCCTCTAATACCTACCCTCAAAGCATTGGTGGATATCCCCAAATTTATTAAATATTGGATTGGAGATACTGTTTCTGTCTGTACGCAATTTAAAGAATACATGTCTACTCGCACTGGAGAGAAACCTTATAAATGTGATGTTTGTAGCTGCACATCCTCGAGAAGTGCACTCTGCGTTCACACAAAACGAAAACACGCCGGAAGAACCCTTATAAATTTTGATATTTGTAGCTACTCACCTCGCAAAGTGGCGCTCGTTGCTCTCACAAACGAATACACACTGAGAGAACCTTTTAAATGTGATGTTTGTACTACTCAGCCGCAACAAGTAGCTAATCTTGCTTCTCACAAACGAATACTCACACCGGGAAAAACCTTATAATGGGATGTTTGTAGCTACACAGCCCGCGAATTGAAACTCTTATTCGTCACAAACGCAACCCAACCGGAGAGAAACCTATAAATGTGATATTTGTAGCTACTCAGCCACGCAAAGTAGCAGTCTGACTTCTCACAAACGAACACACACTGGAGAGAACCATAAATACTTAAATGTGATATTTGAAGCTACTCATCCGCGACAAGTAAATCTTACTTATCACTAAGCGAATACACACTGGAGAGAACCCTTATAAATTGTATAATTGTAGCTATATCAGCCCTCGCAGTATCATCATACTTAAACACACACAAACGAACCACACACCGAGAGAAACCTATAAAAGTATGTTTGAGCTTCTCAGCCAAGCGAATGGCGGTCTTATTTATCACAACAACACACCTGAGAGAAACCTTACAAAAGTTGATATTTGTAGCTACTCAGCCGTGAAAAGTGACAAACTGACTTCTCACAAGCGAATACACATCGTAGAGAAACCTTATAAATGTGATGGTTGTAGCTACTTAGCCAAGCGAATTGGCACTCTTGCTTCTCATAAACGAACACACACCGGAGAGAAACCTTATTCTTGTTGTTTGTGTGACTACAGGGCTAGCCTTTCAATAGTTACAGACCCATATGGATGATCACTCTAGAGAGAGAACTGGCCGGGATTTGAAATAGATAAAAACGGGTGAATATAGTACTTATCGATCTTTCGAAGTCAAATCTCACACACTGTATAATTTGTAGTTATAACCTATAAATATGTTTTAGTATACGGCATACTGGAAACAAGTCAAATAACAGGTGTGTCGTTTTATACTTATCGTTTTTGAAATACTATACTATTAGCTTGTTTATTTTCGAGGAGAAATGTTAGTGACTAATTTATTCGCATCCTTATATTTTTCTGCTAATATGTACCGAAAATTAACAAGTTTGGAAAAAGCTATCAGACATCTTTACTTGATACAAAACTATTACAGCTTATTTTTACCAGTACCACCCATACCAACTGTCTCATTTGACTTGAAATTAATTCAAAGTTTGCAAGCATTAAATTGGAAATATATTGCTTACACGTGGCAGTATTTAACAATTTCAAATTGGCTTTGTGAGACACTCAAAAATTACATTAGAGAATATGACTCATTTTTTAACCCCCTCTACCATAGTTGCCCTGAGTCTTAAAATAGAAAACCCCTCGTATCACCAGGGGGAATCACCTCATGGTTCTAGACTATTGTATTACATATTATATAGTAAGTTGACCAAACCCACCATGGATAAGTGGACCGCTTTCAGTGTCTCCTTTTTCAAACAAAATGGAAATGAGATATTAATTGTGAATAACCGTCCGCAAATAGGAAAATGATACCGAGAATGAAATCGGTCCGTCGCTTTCATATGGAGGTTTTTTACTTTTAAAACCTCCACATAAGTAATTTCTTATTCGTCAACATTACATTAGAAATTAAAGTTTTGAACTAAAAATAACCTGCTGAAACGTACGACTTTCCATGAGCCTAATGCCTGAAAAAACCAGCCTTCCACCGTTATTAAATTTAAAGTTAATAAAGGCTCTGTGCTATTGCCATTGCTATTGACATGAATACTTCTTTATTATGGGTGTAAACATTTTGGGACCTACTCGTTGATATTTTATCAAACTCTTTATTGTCAGAGCAATACTATTGTTTGGTTTTAAATATTTAATTTGTTCGTCCTATAAATCAATTTGATCATACTCATTAAGGTCATGACTCAATGAGACAATTTTACTTACTTTAGATACATCGATTCAAGAAATAGATGTAGATAGTTAAAAAGTGAAAATTATTACAATAAACGATAACGGTATGTACTCTGTACTTAAACATCAACTTATTTGTAATACTAATGATAACACCATTCCGAATGGCGGAATGTGGACAACAAGTTGTGAAGGTTCGTTAAAAAAGAAGTATCAGACATCGACACCTTTCGGTCCAACTACAATCTTTCTTCCAAATAACGCGTCAAGTTTGAAGATGATACAAACTATCACCTTGACACTCGAAATCAAGGCCGAAAGATTTAACAGCTGAACATTACGAAATTGAGAAATGGATCTGCACAATGTTTTTAAAAAACGGAGGAACCAAAATAGAAGTATGCCCGTGTTAAAGCGGGAAGATTTTGTGACACACAATAAAAATGAACCTCTAGGAATGTGGAATGTAATGCCATCCACCCATTCCTCTCTTTCTAATGATCTGTCGCGAATACCAAGCCCTCATAGCAGTGTGGATATCTCCCAATCTATAATATTGGAGAAACTGTTCTGTCAGGCAGCGCAATTTAAAAGAAGTACATGTTCCACTCGTACTGGATAGCAAACCTCTAAATGTGATGTTTGTAGTTACACAACCTCGAGAAGTGGCCTCTTGCTTCTCACAAACGTAAAACACGCCGGA